ATGGAAGGTCCCTGCAAAATTTCATTGAAATTGGTTCAGGGGTTTTGGAGAAGAAGATTTTTGAAATTTTAGTCAATTTGACCCTTTTTGGCCCCGCCCCTCAGGCCCCTGGGGGCTTGTGACTAAACCGGCCACAGTTTTTGTTGACCTTTGTCCATGGAAGGTCCCTGCAAAATTTCATTGAAATTGGTTCAGGGGTTTTGGAGAAGAAGTCGAAAATGTAAATTGTTTACAGACGCACGACGGACGACGAGGGACAAAAGGCGATCGCAATAGGTCACTTGAGACTTTGTCTCAGGTGACCTAAAAATGGAGCTGAAACCCCCTGGTGGGTTCAACTACAGATACTTGTCAGTCTGTGTTTAATCTTCAAAAGACATCTCTTTTGTAAGTTATGGGTTGATTAAGGACAAAAATTAATGAAGTCATTCTATCATCATGAGGAGGTACAATCTTTATAATGGAATCAAAAACACAATCTTTCGGAAGTTTGGCATGGTGGCAAACTGTAATATGTAGATGTGCAATAGTGTTGTAAAAAGTTTCTAATGTCAAGGTCAAGGTCACTGTTACTAAAAATAGACCATGAGGAAGTATGTTCTTTATTGTGGAATCAAAAAGACTAATCATTCAGAAATTTGACATGGTGTTACACTGACGTGTAGATGTACAATAGGGGTTTAAAAGTTGTATAAGGTCAATCTCAAGTCTTTATCTTGGAATCCAAAAGACTTAAAAAAAAAATGGAATTTGGTGATACCCAATGATGTATAAATATGCAAAAAGTAGGGCTGGAACGGGTAACTGAGTACCCTGTTGTAGTTCGGTTATGAGTACTATCTGGTTAGCAAATCCACGTACCAGAAAACTGTCCCAAATTGTAGGGCAGTATTTATTGACTTCCCGGGCAGAAATGTCGCTCCTGACTGCTGATTGATAGACCTCGAAAACACTCGTGATCAGTATACTTGATTAACTATTGAGTGCATGTAAACATAATATCGACTGACATTCTGTTAAACAATGTCACTCATCATTCACCGGCAGCTATAGTCAGTGTTCTGACCAGAGGCGATGCGCAGAAAAACGTGCGCATAGTGTTGAGAACACATAAAAAGTGAAGTGAGTCAACGAAAATTTCCCTGTCGAGAGGCTAGAGATATGTAGCCGATACATAAAGATTTTGAGAATTTGCTACGTTTTACAACTGTATTCACAAGACATAAGTATTGAGTTATCTTTGCTTATGCATTTAATGAATTAAGTGATCTTATTGTTATCAAAATAAAGAGCCAGTGCCATCGGTGGCCGTATTTCATTGCACAAGAAAACATGGTTACCCGGTTTCGGTTCAGATAAGCACACACGGTTATCCGTGTGGCATTTCTTCTAGCCCTAGCAAAAAGCGGATTAAAAGTTTTAAGGTAATCAAGGTCATTGTTACACTGGGTGTGTAGGGACTGGGAGTACAGTCACGCACATGGCTGGGCCCTTGCTGAACTGTCAGTGTGCAAGTACTTGAAATGTTCACCAAAATATTTAAATATAGGGCTCACATTACTTAAGGTAGGAGGAGAGATGTCAAAATGATACTAATCCAATTGCATTCATGGCACTATGAGTGTGATTTCTTCTGTTGGGACTTTCAGTGGAAATGTAATATAACAATGTTCTAATTTTCCAGGTCAGCTGGTTTTAATTGTAATGCCATAGCAATCATTCTCAGATTGATATATTTCGCAATATTCCTGAAAGCATCTATATTAGAGAACCAATTTGTGATGTCAGTGGATTTCATGCATCAAAATATATCAGAAAATAATGGTTCTCAATCCCATATATTTTTTTTTGTTCTTCACTGATCTGTATTTCCCCCTTTAGCTCCTGCAAAAGTACAAGTAGTGGTGGCTTAGAAGAAAATCTGCCAGAGGTAATCACTTTCTCCATCATTATATACCCATTGACATGCATTGACTTTGAAACAATTCTGGATTATTTTAGTACAAATCAAATATCAAAATTGAAGTCACATATATTTACACATGAAAACATGTACCTAAGAGGAAGGCCAACTGTAATGAAGTAATTGGCTTTAATACCAAACAAAGTAAGTCAGAACAATAGTATAAGGTCATTTTTAAAAAACCAAAACTTTGAGGAGTCCAATCACATTCAGCTCATTTCTGTTTGTTATCAGACCGATGACAAATAATTACCGTTAAATATGATTTATAGAATTATTGGTACTTTATTAAAAGGATCTTCCTTTTTGGTGATTTCTTTTTTATAACTGACTTAAAATGACCCCTTTTAATTATACAAAGATGTTGTGTCTTGAAATAAATAATATATAAGGATTTCAATAGGGGTGACAGGAATAGGGTGCTGAGGAACTCTTCAACACTCAGGAAAGAGAAAACTAATATTCAGATAAACAAAAGAAAGAATCTTATATTAAGAGACAGTGTTTAAAGTTGACTGCAGTATTTGATTGAAATATGACCCTTTTTTTCCTTTTAGAGTCCACCGTATGAGGAGATTGCAGCACAGCTGATGTGTACTGTAAAACCAAGTCTGGTATTTCCTGGACGGAGTAAGACATGTTTTCATCAATCACCATAACTATCAAAAATACCTGTATTCTTATGTACTTTTACTGGTATGTCTCTGGAAATCTTTTATAGGAACTGAAATGAAACTAGAAATGAGTCAAGATTCATTCAGAATAAATCAACAATGGGAAAACACAATGTTTAGATTCAATGCTGTTCACATGGAGCCTCTGGGGTCACATGGAGCCTCTGGGGTCACATGGAGCCTATGTGGTCACATGCAGCCTCTGTGGTCACATGGAGCCTCTGTGGTCACATGGAGCCTATGTGGTCACATGGAGCCTCTGGGGTCACATGGAGCCTTTGGGGTCACAGGGGGCCTCTGGGGTCACATGGAGCCTTTGGGGTCACATGGAGCCTCTGGGGTCCCATGGAGCCTCTGGGGTCCCATGGAGCCTCTGGGTTCACATGGAGCCTCTGGGGTCACATGGGGCCTATGGGGTCACATGGGGCCTCTGGGGTCACATGGAGCCTATGTGGTCACATGGAGCCTATGTGGTCACATGGAGCCTATGGGGTCACATGGGGCCTCTGGGGTCACATGGAGCCTCTAGGGTCACAGGGGGCCTTGTAGCAAGCAAACTTTAAAAAATTTAAAAGTGTTCAATGACCAACCAAGCTTCCCATAATGTTTTCAATGAAATAGACTTAACAGTAATAGAGATTCAATTTTAAACCACCAGATCTATACCTTTATGTTACATATAGGAGGTTTTTTTATATATATTCTAGGTATTTTAGAAGAGACACGAGAGAAACTTCAGAAATTAATGAGACAAAGGTAAGCTCTTGATTTGTATCGTGTCTTCAAGAAATGGTACCTTTTCTGTAAATTTACATTGTACATCAACTATTATACAAAAGGCCCATGAATTTTTAATGAATTGAACCGTTATTTTGCTGAAAGATGCCTTTTCCTCCCTTCGCACCAGTATTACCTTTGCATCAGTATAATACCTGATCATGAAAAACCATACATTAAAAAATATGGTAGATCATTAATTTTAGACAAACTCAAAAACAAGTTATAGACAAGCTTTTACCTTATTGCACTTCTGTGCATATTCATATAAGTATATCTCCCTTATTTGTGCTGCAATTGAGGGGGGGGGATATGACTTTCTGAAGTTTAATTTATTTCACATACAAACATAAAACACTAAATTTGACAGAGACAATCAATAATTTGACCAAGAGCTACCTCAATATCTGTAAATTATTTTAAAACCCTGTTAACAAGTCTGTCACAAGTTTCCCCTGGGTCGAGCCCCCACCTACCAGCTTACCAGGGTGATCTAGTCCTTGAGGCGGACACAGGCAGCCTACTTGCCAACTCTCAATATTTTGGAAGGAGACATTTTGGACCCTTGCATTTAGAATTTCCAACCAGTGATTTTCTTCTCTTCCTACATCCTAGGATCTAATGATTTCAACCAGAAATAACAACTCAAAAGAAGCTGTTGTAAAGTGTTACTTATATTTTTTGAGCATGCAGAATCCTCCGATGGAATTTCAAAACATTGGCAAGTATTGGGCAGCTATTAATTGAGCTACAATTTACAGATCTAATCAGAAGTTTTCCAGAACACATTTATGTTTGAATTGTTAACATCCAGGTAATGTTCTGTGTAGCTGTCTATGTCTGATAAAATGCTAGCTGATTTTGTATATAAAGGCTGGTAATGTATAGTGATATACAATGTTATTTCAGTGCTCCGAGATCGGCAACTCCTACACCTAACTTGCTGACACTTGGTAGTATATGTACAGGCTCAGTAAAGAGGTCCCTTCTGGAAAGATTCCTGCCGGAGGAAAACCAAGGAAGTAGTAAAGGTAGCTTTATTGAGTAATACGACAACATGATTGTTCATATTGACAACCCTACTGTTTGTCTTGACGCTGTCATTGCAAGATTTAAGATGTTGGCTCATTCAAATTATCAGGCTTTCGTTTGAATGATCTTAACATATGCAGACATGAAAAGTATTACCAAAACTGTCATAAAAAGTATATGTCAGTGTGCTTGTTTCATTTTGTTTTTGTCTAGTTGTAGGCTACCCTAACAATGCTGGGAAGTCTGAGGTCACCTGCATGGAATCAGAACCTAATCTTTGTAATATTCCAAAACAACAAACGAACAACACCTCTTCTGACATTGTCACTGATGCCCATGTGCTGTTGAGGTGTAATGACTTGGCTATTACACAGTCTAAATATCAATACTCGCCCAACACAGAAAAATCTCAAAACTTCAATCCCGATGCCAGACAAATTTTACGCCATAATGACTCGGAGAGAGCCAAGAAGTTCATCACAATTCCACAGCCCAGACAAGGTGAACAGGGGTCAGACTCTATACACATGTCACGACCACCGTCAGCCTTCAGAACAAAGGAGAGGGACGCTCTCCAGCATCAACCGTGTATCCATCATGACGTTTCCTCCATGGATACTAGGGAGTATGTGCCCAGAGAATCCAGTCACCACGATTCCCAGTCCTCCAGACACAGTCTGACCAGTTCTCAGGCCTCTTCCTGTGGTCACCCTGACAGGAGGACCTACAGTCAGGTGGTCAGTACAAACAAGGTAACTTCCAATTAGCATAACAGTATCAGGATATTCATCCTTTAGAGGCAAAAGGGCAAAAAAGTATTTCTTTTTTTGCCTAACAGACAAGGATCTGAGTTGTAATTGTGCAAGGCATTATGTCTTCCCCAAAGTGAAAATTGTGAGGGAAATATAAGAATTTGTTCCCCAAATTAGTTTAGATTGTTACTTAAACAGTGAAAACAAACCTTATTTCCAATAAACTCTCGGTTCTGTCAAACACAATTTTTTCAGTTGAGGCATCTTTCCCTTACTGGCCACCTCCCTTCCCAGTTAAAATGGCTGGTTTGTGTAATGATTGGATTAATAAGACAGATTTGTAAAGTAAATAGTCAATCTGTCTAAACTCCTGTGTCAGCGGTGAATGTGTTCCCTTAAACACTGGCTGGACAGTAGAGATCTGTAAAAACAGTAGATATTTGTATAACCATCTGTTATAAGATAGAGGTCAGTTATACCATAGAGATCTGTTATACCATAGAGATCAGTTATACCATAGAGTATGTTATTTCATAGAGGTCAGTTGTACCATAGAGGTCAGTTATAAGATATAGGTCAGTTATACCATAGAGATCTATTATAAGATAGAGGTCATGTATACCATAGAGATCTGTTATAAGATATAGGTCAGTTATACCAGAGGTCAGTTATACCACAGAGGTCAGGTTATACCAGTGGAGATCTGTTATAAGATAGAGGTAAGTTATACCAAAGAGATCTGTTATACCATAGAGGTCAATTATACCATAGAGATTTGTAATAAGATATAGGTCAGTTATACCATAGAGATCTGTTATACCATAGAGGTCAGTTATACCAAAGAGATCTGTTATACCATAGAGGTCAGTTATACCATAGAGATCTGTTATAAGATAGAGGTCAGGTATACCAGTGGAGATCTGTTATAAAATAGAGGTAAGTTATACCAAAGAGATCTGTTATACCATAGAGGTCAGTTATACCATAGAGATCTGTTATCACAGTAGAGATGTTATACCATAGATATATGTTATCACAGTATCTGTTATACCATAGAGGTCAGTTATACCAAAGAGAGCTGTTATACCATAGAGGTCAGTTATACCAAAGAGAGCTGTTATACCATAGAGGTCAGTTATACCAAAGAGATCTGTTATACCATAGAGGTCAGTTATACCAAAGAGATCTGTTAAACCATAGAGGTCAGTTATACCATAGAGATCTGATATAAGATATAGGTCAGTTATACCAGAGGTCAGTTATACCACTGAGGTCAGGTTATACCAGTGGAGATCTGTTATAAGATAAAGATATGTTACCATAGAGATCTGTTATAAGATAGATGTCAGGTATACCAGTGGAGATCTGTTATAAGATAAAGATATGTTACAAAAGAGATCTGTTATAAGATATAGGTCAGTTATACCATAGAGATCTGTTATAAGATAGAGGTCATGTATACCATAGAGATCTGTTATAAGATATAGATCAGTTATACCAGAGGTCAGTTATACCACAGAGGTCAGGTTATACCAGTGGAGATCTGTTATAAAATAGAGGTAAGTTATACCAAAGAGATCTGTTATACCATAGAGGTCAGTTATACCATAGAGATCTGTTATCACAGTAGAGATATGTTATCACAATAGAGTGTGATCACAGTAGAGATCTGCTATTACAGTAGAGATGTTATACCATAGATATATGTTATCACAGTAAAGATATGTTATCACAGTAAAGATATGTTATCACAGTAAAGATATGTTATCACAGTATAGATATGTTATACCATAGAGGTCTGTTATCACAGTAGATATGTTATTCCATAGAGGTCTGTTATCACAGTAGAGATATGTTACACCATAGAGATATGTTACACCATAGATATATGTTATCACAGTAGAGATATGTTATCACAGGAGACATGTTATACCATAGAGATATGTTATCACAGTAGAGATATATTATACCATAGAGATCTGTCATCACATTAGAGATATGTTATCACAGTAGAGATATGTTACACCATAGAGATCTGTTATCACAGTAGAGATGTTATACCATAGATATGTTATCACAGTAGAGATATGTTATACCATAGAGATTTGTTATCACAGTAGAGATATGTTACAACATAGAGATCTGTTATCACAGTAGAGATGTTATACCAAAGATATGTTATCACAGTAGAGATATGTTACACCATAGATATATGTTATCACAGTAGAGATATGTTACACTATAGAGATCTGTTATCACAGTAGAGATGTTATACCATAGAGATATGTTATCACAGTAAAGATATGTTATCACACTAGAGATATGTTAGCACAGTAGAGATATGTTATCACAGGAGACATGTTATACCATAGATATATGTTATCACAGTAGAGATATGTTATACCATAGAGATATGTTATCACAGTAGAGATATGTTATACCATAGAGATCTATTATCACAGTAGATATGCTATACCATAGAGATCTGTCATCACATTAGAGATACGTTATCACAGTAGAGATATGTTATACCATAGAGATCTGTTATCACAGTAGATATGTTATACCATAGAGATCTGTTATCACAGTAGAGATATGTTACACCATAGAGATCTGTTATCACAGTAGAGATGTTATACCATAGATATATGTTATCACAGTAGAGAAATGTTATCACAGTAGAAATATGTTATACCATAGAGAACTGTTATCACAGTAGAGATATGTGACACCATAGAGATCTGTTATCACAGTAGAGATGTTATACCATAGAGGTATGTTATACCATAGAGATATGTTATCACTGTAGAGATATGTTATGCCATAGATATGTTTTCACAGTAGAGAAATGTAATCACAGGAGGGATATGTTATACCATAGAGATATGTTATCACAGTAGATGTTATACCATAGAGATCTGTCATCACAGTAGATATGTTATCACAGTAGAGATATGTTATCACAGTAGAGATCTGTTATACCATAATAATAATAATAATAATAATATACAGCATTTATATAGCGCCCTATATAATTTGTAAAATTACTCTTAAGGCGCTTTACAACATATGGATAATAGTAATGGTTACAATTGTGAAAACAAACAACAAAGGCTTGCAATCACTTTCATACATTTAACAAGCAATGTGCACATAATTGAACAAATAAAAGGGTGGTATTTACATGACGTCTTTGCAAAGATTCTAAAATGCAGACGTGAAGAGGTGAGTTTTTATGTCCCTCTTGAACTTGGCCAGGGTATTCGACTTCCTAATAGCAGATGGTAAGCTATTCCACAACGTAGCCGAAACCCTCCCAAAGCATCTGTTTCCGTAGGTCACAGTACGAGATTTTGGGACACACAACAAAGATTCTGACTCCGACCGCAGTGATCTTGACGGCTGATACAGGGTAACAAGTTCCTGTAGGTACTGAGGAGCTGTTCCATTCAGTGCCTTGTATGTGTATACCAGAATTTTGTACTGCGACCTGTATCGTACAGGTAACCAGTGCAACGAATAAAGCGCAGGTGTGATGTGCTCTCTCTTTCGAGTACGAGTAACTAGCCGTGCTGCAGTGTTCTGAACCCTCTGCAGACGACTAGTTAGTTTGTCAGATATACCACAGAGCAGGGCGTTACCATAATCCAACCGAGAGGTAACAAGTGAATGCACCAAAATCTTGCATGCATCTGCAGTTAGAAACTGCCGAATACAGCCGATGTTCCTGATCTGGTAGTAACAGGATTTGGCAATAGCGTTCACTTGTTTCTCCATGTTCAGAGAACTGTCAAAGTATACCCCTAGGTTTTTAACAGCTGGAACAGTCTCAATAGTTCTGGCACCAACCTTGAGCTGGAGAGCCATTGTTTGCTGACACTTTGGGGAAAAGACGATTAGTTCCGTCTTTTCCTGATTAAGTTTAAGCATGTTGGCGTTCATCCAGATACTGATATCTGTCAGACAAGCTTCCAGACTTTCTGAGACTGTATTCCAACTGTCCTGTGGTTTTATGACCATGTAAATTTGTGTGTCATCAGCATAGCAATGATAGCGAAGGCTATGGCGACGACAAATCTCTCCAATCGGTTTGGAGTACATACAATATTTTCGTGGTCCTAACACCGACCCTTGAGGAACCCCGAAATCTAGTACTTTGTCATGTGAGGTGGCAGATCCGATGGCAACACACTGTCGTCGTTCACTCAGGTATGACTGTATCCAGCATAGTGCGGTATCAGTCACTCCATAAGAGTATTCCAGACGTTTATAAAGTATGCCATGGTCGATGACGTCAAATGCAGCTGACAAGTCCAGCATGACAAGCACCGCTCTGCACTTGTTATCCAATGCAGAAGCTATATCACTATGTACACGTAGGAGGGTCGTCTCAGTAGAGTGTACCATGCGGTAGGCCGATTGCATGTTGTCATGGAGACTGTTTGCATGGAGATGAACATACCATATAGATTTGTGATTGCAGTAGAGATCTGTTATCACAGTTGAGATCTGTTATAATACCATAGAGATTTGTTATCACAGTAGAGGTATGTTGCTTTGATATTGGCACCACAGCTATCACATTGGGGATCAGTTGCCTTTTAGTTGATATTTAATATAGATGGCTGGCTGTATTATGTTTTAGCATTTGCTGCCTTGAATGTGTTCTATAAAGATTTCAACTTGTCACAATTAAGAACTATTTTATTATACATGTTTATATATAAAATGCACAGGCAGTTGTTGCGGAGTTGCGACACTATCCGGAACACCTTCTCCATACAACATACTACAGGGACAGCCTCGATGTTTTGATGCCACAAGAAAGACAACATCAGGTACTGACAGAAAATATACAACAGTCAATTTTAGGGGGAAGTCTAGAAATACAGATCATGATTTACCAGATGTATATACAAATGTAGTATCATACACATCATACCCTGTTTTGATGCGATAGTATTGAGCAAGCTTAAGGTGTCTGATTTTGGCAGTCTACATTTGGGTCAGTCAAATCATCAAGATTAACTCCCATTGAACCTGCTACCAAGTATAGAAAAAGTTGTAAATAAAGCAAAAAGCAGAGAATGTTAATTGATAGTGTTACACTATGCTTATAAACCTTGATCTGTAACTTTTCAACATGTTCGAAAATATGGTCATTTAGAGCATGTTTTATTATTAAACTTACACCCTATATTTTACAAGCTGTATGATAACACAATTTTATTCTTCTAGCAATCATGTACATTGAATATTTTGTTTTCATACCATTAAGTATTTTATGTCAATAACTTAGATTTCCCCTTGATGAGTATATGTATTTTTTTGGTTCTCGGACAAAGCCGCCCATGGATTTCCTGGACATGTTGGACGACACTCAAACTGTAGCCCCCTCTCCTGTTCCAGTCAATATGTTAAAGTCAGCAACACCCGATTCGGATGGCTCCCCTCTGTGGCTTCCTGTTCCACCTCCATTTCCAAAGAAGCCAACATTTGACACTCCAAGTCCTCCAGATAAGCTATATCCTCGTCTTCTGTACTAAACTTAACTACTAAACAGGAACACGACAGGATAGAATTTCAATATATCTGACAATACGGGTAACATCGGAGAAATCCCTGACATGTTTTGAAGAAATTCCCATGACTGGACTAATGCTGTGATGGATATTCCTGACAACTATATGAAGGGAAACAATTGATCAGAAGGGAACTCACTGAACGACCAATACTGTGAGGCTAATCCTTCACACATGTTTTAGGATGCTAATCCTTCACACATGTTTTAGGAGGCTAATCCTTCACACATGTTTTAGGAGGCCAATGCTTTACAGATGTTTTGGTAGGCCCAATCCTTCACACATGTTTTGGGATGCTAATGCTTTACAGACGGTTTGGGAGGCTAATCCTTCACACATGTTTTGGGAGGCTAATGCTTTACACATGTTTTGGGAGGCTAATCCTTCACACATGTTTTAGGAGGCTAATCCTTTACTGATGTTTTGGGAGGCTAATCCTTTACATATGTTTTGGGAGGCTAATCCTTTACATATGTTTTGGGAGGCTAATCCTTTACATATGTTTTGGGAGGCTAATCCTTTACATATGTTTTGGGAGGCTAATCCTTTACATATGTTTTGGGAGGCTAATCCTTTACATATGTTTTGGGAGGCTAATCCTTTACATATGTTTTGGGAGGCTAATCCTTTACATATGTTTTGGGAGGCTAATCCTTTACATATGTTTTGGGAGGCTAATCCTTTACATATGTTTTGGGAGGCTAATCCTTTACATATGTTTTGGGAGGCTAATCCTTTACTGATGTTTTGGGAGGCTAATCCTTTACAGATGTTTTGGGAGGCTAATCCTTTACATATGTTTTGGGATGCTAATGCTTTACAGATGTTTTGGGAGGCTAATCCTTTACTGATGTTTTGGGAGGCTAATGCTTTACACATGTTTTGGGAGGCTAATTCTTCACATATGTTTAGGGAGGCTTATCCTTTACAGATGTTTTGGGAGGCTAATCCTTTACAGTTGTTTTGGGAGGCTAATCCTTCACATATGTTTAGGGAGGCTAATCCTTTACTGATGTTTTAGGAGGCTAATCCTTTACAGATGTTCTGGGAGGCTAATCCTTACAGATGTTTTGGGGGGCTAATCCTTTACAGATGTTCTGGGAGGCTAATCCTTACAGATGTTTTGGGGGGCTAATCCTTTACAGATGTTGAGGGAGGCTAATCTTTTACATATGTTTATGGAGGCTAATCCTTTACTGATGTTTTGGGAGGCTAATACTTTACAGAAGTTTTTGGAGGCTATTCCTTTACAGACGTTTTAGGAGGCTAATCCTTTACTGATGTTTTGGGAGGCTAATACTTTACAGAAGTTTTTGGAGGCTATTCCTTTACAGACGTTTTAGCAGGCTAATCCTTTACAGATGTTCAGGGAGGCTCATTCTTTACAGATATTCAGGGAGGCTAATCATTTACAGATGTTGTGGGAGGCTCATCCTTTACAGATATTCAGGGAGGCTAATCATTTACAGATGTTGTGGGAGGCTCATCCTTTACAGATATTCTGGGAGGCTAATCCTTTACAGATTTTTTGGGAGGCTAATCCTTACAGATGTTTTGGGGGGCTAATCCTTTACAGATGTTGAGGGAGGCTAATCTTTTACATATGTTTAGGGATGCTAATCCTTTACTGATGTTTTGGGAGGCTAATCCTTTACTGATGTTTTGGGAGGCTAATACTTTACAGAAGTTTTTGGAGGCTATTCCTTTACAGACGTTTTAGCAGGCTAATCCTTTACAGATGTTGAGGGAGGCTAATCTTTTACATATGTTTAGGGATGCTAATCCTTTACTGATGTTTTGGGAGGCTAATCCTTAACATATGTTTTTGGAGGCTAATCCTTCATATATGTTTAGAGAGGCTAATCCTTTACAGATGTTCTGGGAGGCTAATCCTTACAGATGTTTTGGGGGGCTAATCCTTTACAGATGTTCAGGTAGGCTAATTCTTCACAGATGTTAAGGGAGGCTCATCCTTTACAGATATTCAGGGCGGCTAATCCTTTACAGATGCTTTGGGATGCTTATCCTTTACAGATGTTCTGGGAGGCTAATCCTTACAGATGTTTTGGGGGGCTAATCCTTTACAGATGTTTTAGGAGACTATTCCTTTACAGACGTTTTAGCAGGCTAATCCTTTACAGATGTTGTGGGAGGCTCATCCTTTACAGATGTTCAGGGAGGCTAATTCTTTACAGATGTTCAGGGAGGCTAATTCTTCCCAGATGTTCAGGGAGGCTCATTCTTTACAGATATTCAGGGAGGCTAAACCTTTACAGATGTTGTGGGAGGCTCATCCTTTACAGATGTTCAGGGAGGCTCATTCTTTACAGATATTCAGGGAGGCTAAACCTTTACAGATGTTGTGGGAGGCTCATCCTTTACAGATGTTCAGGGAGGCTAATTCTTTACAGATGTTCAGGGAGGCTAATAGATGTGTTGGGAGGCTAATCCTTACAGGTGTTTTGGGAGGCTAATCCTTAACATATGTTTTTGGAGGCTAATCCTTCACATATGTTTAGGGTGGCTAATCTTTTACATATGTTTATGGAGGCTAATCCTTTACTGATGTTTTGGGAGTCTAATCCTCACAGATGTTTTGGGAGGCTAATACTTTACAGAAGTTTTTGGAGGCTATTCCTTTACAGACGTTTTAGCAGGCTAATCCTTTACAGATGTTCAGGTAGGCTAATTCTTCACAGATGTTAAGGGAGGCTCATCCTTTACAGATTTTTTGGGAGGCTAATCCTTACAGATGTTTTGGGAGGCTAATACTTTACAGAAGTTTTTGGAGGCTATTCCTTTACAGACGTTTTAGCAGGCTAATCCTTTACAGATGTTTTGGGGGGCTAATCCTTTACAGATGTTTTAGGAGACTATTCCTTTACAGACGTTTTAGGAGGCTAATCCTTTACAGATGTTCAGGGAGGCTAATTCTTCACAGATGTTCAGGGAGGCTCATCCTTTACAGATATTCAGGGAGGCTAATCCTTTACAGATGTTGTGGGAGGCTAATCCTTTACAGATTTTTTGGGAGGCTGATCTTTCACAGATGTTTTGGGAGGCTAATCCTTCACACATGATTTGGGAGGTTAATCCTTTACAGATGTTTCGGGAGGTTAATCGTTAACAGATGTTCATGGAGGCTAATGCTTTACAGATGTTCAGGGAGGCTAATCCTTTACAAATGTTCAGGGAGGCTAATCCTTTACAGATGTTCAGGGAGGCTAATTCTTTACAGATGTTCAGGGAGGCTCATCCTTTACAGATGTTCAGGGAGGCTAATCCTTTACATATGTTTTGGGAGGCTAATCCTTTACAGATGTTGTGGGAGGCTAATGCTTTATAAATGTTCAGGGAGGCTCATCCTTTACAGATGTTCAGGGAGGCTAATGCTTTATAGATGTTGTGGGAGGCTAATGCTTTATGGATGTTTTGGGAGGCTAATGCTTTATAGATGTTTTGGGAGGCTAATGCTTTTTAGATGTTTTGGGAGGCTAATGCTTTATAGATGTTGTGGGAGGCTAATGCTTTATAGATGTTGTGGGAGGCTAATGCTTAATAGATGTTTTGGGAGGCTAATCCTTTACAGATGTTGTGGGAGGCTAATGCTTTATAGATGTTTGGGAGGCTAATGCTTTATAGATGTTTTGGGAGGCTAATGCTTTATAGATGTTTTGGGAGGCTCCTCATGAACTGGTCAGAGAAGAACCATATAGACTGCACTGATATTGAAAAGAAAATTTCTGCCAATTATCTTGATGCAAACCACATTTGAACTGATATTATGAAGATGATCCTTGAAATCTGTATTTATGGAAACTGCTCATAAACTATTCATAGAGGTAAATGTCCCCTACTCCGAAATTATTTAGGGAACCTCCTAAAAGTATTTTGTGCGTTAATTGCCCCCGGACCCTTTGCCTGTAGGGTACAGATATTGTAATGTCACCAATGTGTTGGGAGAAACCCTTCAAAACAAATTCTTTTAGCTTGTGCTGATATTGCAAGGGGAATCCCTGGTGATGACAGTATTGGAGAAATCCGTTCATGCGAGGGAATCTCTTAAGCTTCTTGGACTGCTAAGGAAAATCTCTATGGCCTGTTCAAGATTAAGTAGTTATTTCCATTATGTGATTTAAAAAAATCTTTATTTCCATTGCTATCTTGTTGAGAGGAAACTAAATGAATGTGCATTTATTATTATTATTTCACGTCTATCACAAAGTTCCTAAAGGGAAGTAAAAAAATAAGTATCCACAGTCACCATTGGTCCCAGATTTTGGGCTTAGCCCTTCGTCAGTGATTGGATGGTCCTCACCCTTATATCACTTCAAATATGGATACATCCCTGATGAAGGGCTAAGCAAACAAGTTATGATCAACAGTGACGTGATATTTACCGGTATATTATTTAATGTTTTATTTGTTATGGAGAATATATACTTGTTTGATTTATATTGTTTTGTATGTTCTGCCAACTCATGCATTTCACACTTCCGTATTATTTTGATTTGTTTGTACAGCATTTTTTATTTAATTCTCCAGATAGTTTGACTAATGAAGTAAAAGGATGTACACAACTAAATCTGTAAATAAATTGTATTTAATATTAAATATATTCCTGAAATTTGTTTGACATTGATAAAAGTTAAATAAAAAATAAATAAAGAATGTCTGTTCTGTTTTGATTTTATCTACATGTATTCTTTCTGACTTGGACAATTCAAGTTGACAAAAATAGTACAAAACTTATAAGGATGGACTTTCCAACTACCACTGCAGTGAGAATGGCAGACTTATATCCCCTGCCTGTACCAAGAACTGAACATAAACATCTGAAATTTGCTCCATAAATAGGGGAGGTAACTTTAATTTACATACTTTATTCAAATCCCTGAATCCGGTTTAACCAGTTTGTCTGTTTTTAAATTTAACATTTTCAGGTGTAATTCCTGGCAGACCTGTAAATGTTTATGCAGGCCTTGCAAAGCTTTGTCAAGGCTCACCTAAAAACAGCATCAGATTACTGGGTCCGACCTTATTTCATAAACGAACAACTCTGGTCCAACCAGTTCAACCATTTTGATCATGATAAACAAATGATGTCCAAATATCATTCAAGTGGTATAAACAATGCTTTGAATAAAGGGACACAACTCAATATATAGGGGAAGTAACTCATATATCTAAACATTTTTCATATCAAAGAATCACAGTACTTTGGAGCAGTGCTAATAATTTTTAAATCAGGCATAACTCTGACAAGAGGCCCAATGGGCCTGCATCGCTCACCTGTTATTAATC